TTTTTTTTTCTCTATTTTTTTCACGACAACCCCCCCTGGGGTTGTGCAGCGGGTTCCCCCTTTTTAAAATTTCCCGGGCCAAGGGATTTTTTTTTTTTTAATAAAGGCCTTTTTCCCCTTTCCCTTTCCAAAACCCAATACCCCCCCCCCCCCCCCCCCCGTCGAATCAATTACTAAAAAGACAAGACGTGGCTGTGAAGATAGTTTTCATCCCCAATCCCGTGCCCGTCAAAGCACGCGCTCAAGGCCGCTGTCTTTATGGCCAGATACAATGACGAGCAAGACGCACGTCTTTATCGAGCAAGCCTCGCCCAGGTCAAATGCTTGACAAGCGCGGTGCCAGCCATCGATGCGTTAAAGTAGTCCCTGGGGACCACGAGTCGGCCGGGCCCGAAAGCGTCTCCGTCAACCCCAAGCTCGGGGTGGAAGCACAAGTTCCTTCAAGTTCAACAACACTTTTAACAAAAGTACACCAACCGAGCAAGAGCGCAATACGAAAATAATTGTGACGTGCTCTACAGCGTCTCTATATCAATGACCATCATGGAGTACACGACCTGTAGAGATTGGATTGGTTAAAATTTAAAATATTCTTTCGCCTTAATCTGCAACGGTTCACAGATACAACCCATGAAGCCGTTCTATATCTGCTTTGTTTAGTCTCGAAAACTCAACCGTCGGATATATTCCGCCGGAGGGGAGCGATGTCAAAGAGGCCGGAAGAGCAGTTGTAGTCTTGGTGTGGTTGTGGTAGCCAAAGGAACACCGGGGCTGGAAATGGTGCTCTATGTTGTGTTGCCACCACTTGATAATCATTTATGGGTAGACGATATTGCTACATTGTCCTATCATCAATTCTCCCTGACGGGAAGAGTAGAGAAAGAGGACCAGAAACAGGACCAGTAACAGGATCCACAATGTGATCACTAGATCTCTGCGGATGAGTAAATAAATTCAAGGTTAAGGTCTCTCTGTAAAAGAAACTAAGTGGTTCTCATCTGTCGTGATGGGACAGTCAACTCCTGAGTCACCACCGGCAGGAGTGCAGATATTCCTGCAAATGCATGAACCTAGTAAACATGAAAATTTCCTTTGAAGCTTAAACTTGGAAAACCGTAGTATAACCTGCGCATCATCATCACAATTCATGTTCTCTTAGGTTTCGTTCCATTTTTTAGTTTCTTTCCCTTTCACGTTTTAGCATCTTTCCCTTCCACTATTAGCATACATTCCCACGCTCCATTTGGAAGATCGGCTCCTTGGAGCCTTTCGGGTATTCGGGTATTTGCCAAATGTCAAAACTTCCATCCCATAGAGTCCATGCCCCGTGGATTCCCTAACGGAGGCGGACGAACAACTCCATTTTCGTCCACGGGAATCGGGTCCGCTTTGGATCCATCCTGCCGAAACCCATAATCTGCTTGGAGCTTTGCAACATTGCGGGCGTACATCTTGAATGGGGTATTGCGATCTTTGTACCAGGGCTTAGGGTCATCTGAATCCTGGCCGTTTCCTTGCTGCGTAGTAGTGCTATGGTACAATTTCCAGAGAGGGTCTCGAGGGGAGTCAGGGGGTGGACGGTAGAAGGGTTGTGGGCGTCGAGGCCGAAGTGGAGGCGTGATGGTTTTGTCTCGACTTTTAAGAATGCCCTCACTGTATTCTTCTGAGATATCACGTTTTTGTAGCTTGTTGGTGATGGGGCGGTGACGGCCACTGCCTTCAATGGTATATCCACGGAGGCTGGATTTAGAGGAGGAGCTTTCGAGCATATCGCTATCGTCGTCAGAGTTCGTCTCGAAAGACATGCTGCGGGTCTGCTTCGCAGCTACCAGCGCTACGGCCGCACGATGGGATCCGTCCACCGATTCAGCTATTTCATCTGACGTATTGACTTCATCGTCAGCGTCAATACCAGTACTTGCAACGTCAATTTCATTGGTGGAGCTGAAAAGAGGCCATGATGCGTCTGTATCACCAAGTTCCACGCTGGCAGATTTGTGGGCTTCTAGTTCATCACTTGATTCGGCAAGGTCTTCTGCCATCAGATCAATCTCGGGTTGGTGCAATAGTTCGCCATGGTTTGATTCGGGAATGGTGGGTTCCCGCTCTTTCCTCTCCTCGTCTGACGACAATATTATGGGATCTTCCGGGTCAAAGGCAGCTAGAGATCCTTGTTCATTTTCCAAAGGGCTGAAATTGGAAAGCCGTCGACTGGAATTCCGCTTGGACGAGGCTTCGCTCGTAAAGTCCTCGCCATCTTGCTCCGCCAGGACAAGCTCGAGATCGTGGGCAGTAAGAATGCCCTTGCGACATCGTAGTTTGCTGACTTCTTGTTGAAGGTAATTTTCGAACGAACCAAGACAGGAGGACTGGCTGAGATCGTGGTGCCGGAGGATATAACTCGGATATTGTACCACAAAATCGTCCCAGAGAAATGAACGTGTCAAAATATTTTGACCGCGCAGGCCCTGTAACATATTACATGCCTGCCTGAAATGATTAAAGTTGCCGGCATAGTTAGAATATGCCTCTTTGAACCGATTGTATACTGCCTCTGTCTTCGACAGTAATTCATCATTGTCAAAATAGGGTTCGCGACACTCTAAAGCAACCGTTCGATTCTTTGCTACCTTTTCCTCCCCTGAAGAAGTGCTAGAAGTGCATGTCTGTGACTTGAAAATCCTTGGTTGTTTAGGTGAATTGTTGCTCCATGGGGAGAGTTCACTTCTTTTTCGCTTTCCTATCATAACCGAGGTGGAGTTTATTTCCAGATGAGATCCACGAACATCAATTGGACTAGAAACAGCAGGCCCAGATGCATGAACAATGACTGCTGGATCCGTGTATTCCGCCTGGGAGTTTTGCATAAATTCCTCTAAATCGGACATCAGTTGTTTTCCTGCCATCGGCTCGTCATCCTCGTAATCTACAGGGTCACGTTCTAAAGGATTAGATACTTTTGTGGAAGTCGACGCGGAGGATTCAGCGGGGCTTTGACTTCGTGGGTGTTCTCTGCTTGTGGACGGAGAGGTCTCAGGATGAATATTTAGACGTTGGGTATCGTAAGTTGAAGGAATGAGCGGGTCTGAGGACACTTTCTTATGATATTTTTGACCAAAGCACTGGCCATCAGCTTGGAGTGGCTCACTGTTTACTTCAATATCCCGTTCTCTCTCCTCGATATATGGAGATTGTTCAACCTCCATGAAAAAAGCTTCGTTGGATTGGGGCAACGAAAGCCAGGAGGTCGAGATCCCATCCTCCTCTTGATCTTCGTCAACTTGGCTTGTATTTCCTAAGCCTTTGGGAGCTGCCGTTTCCATCTCAGAACTGTCATCTTCGTCCTCTACGGGTGTGGCTGGATCGCAGACACGTGGTTTCTGGGAATTTGGAGGTATTTCAGGTTGAGATGCCAGCGATTTCTCAATTTGACTAGCCACAGCTTCCGCATTGCTACAAATAGCATCATTAGGGGAGGCTGACCGACGTAGGCGACTATCCCCCATACTCGGTAATCTCTGAAGTGGACTACTATCTTGCGGTACAAGGTGAGAAGAGGAAGGTAGTGGTGTTGGATCCCATTCCGGATCCAGCATTTCGGTTGCTTGTGACGACTTCAGAATGTTAAACCCGATATCTTCGTCCTCATTTATGGGAGGAGGAGCCGCGTCATCACTAATTTTCTCCATGGACGACCTGCGACGCTGCATGTCATTCCATTCTTGTAAGAGATATATCGGGACATGTGCCTGTGGGGGACGCTTTCCCGGTTCCGCAGGGACCCAAGACTCTTGTTGCTCTATAAGCTCTTCCTGGTCCTTGTGAATTGTAACATCCCGGCGTCGGATCCGCGTCATATGCCTCCATGGGTCATTTCGACGGGTCTGCACGCTTGTCTTTTGGTTATTGTCCAACTCCATGGAGATCTTAGTGGTTATCCGTGGTTCTTCTTGCGGCATATGCGAATCTGTACCGTTCATTATTTGCTGGTGACCCTTTCGAACCGTAAGATCGCGCCGTTTCGGCGGCGGCATATCTTCACCCGCAGATATTTGAGTGCTAGCTACCTCTGCTTTATGATCATCATGCACCACCTTATCCCTTTCAAGGCTTCGGGATATACTTGGGGATCTAGCGTCAGATGTGTATCTGAGAGTGCTCGAGGCCAAGCTGGGAGGTCGTGTTAATAGATCCGCGCAAGCATCACTACTGCGGTCTCCTTTCTCGTTATCTGAGGCCTCCTGCTCAGTTGACGGGATCAATTGGGTCGCAAAACCTAACTGATCTATTTCCAAGTCTAGTTTGCTGGAAGGTGGCCTAGGAGGTTTTGTGTTCTTGCTCAGTGACTCCCTAGCAGCTGAAGGGGCCTTGTTAGGGTTCCCTTGTCTTTTTTTCGGCATGAGAGCAGAAAGTAGTGATGTAGCATCCGTCTTAGGTGGTGCAGAACCCACCCCAACAAGGGTGGCGGCTTGAAGATTTTCGATCCGCCGACCGGTTGAAATCTTTGACTGAAACTGCTGTTGGGAAACTGGAGACACGCTTGCGGCACAAGATTGGGACCTCAGAGACGATGCTTCTGAATCTGAATCCAAACCTACGTCAACATCCATTTCATGCCCATCGCCATTCGGGGGAGCAACACCATTCTGTTGGCCGTTGTGCTGTCTGCAAAAGTCCCTGAGCAAACTAGACATCTTTGGTTGCCCCAATATGTCTACAGGGGTGCCAAAAACACTAGCTCCCTCGCATCCCTCCACTTGAAAGTCCAGAACATACAAGGCAACCTGAGGTGTCTGAGCTCTAACATAGCTGATAACAACCTCGAATTCAACAATCTTTAATATCGCTCCCTTTGTACCACTGTTAAGTGGTTTCCTAGCTTTAATTTGATATCTCTGTGTAGACTCTTTGGAGAAGATTCCCAAGATGGTGGTGAGAGAGTCGGATAAAGTACCCTGAATGGACTGTGAAGGGGGAGACCACTACAAGGGAAAACTGTTAGCCTAACTTAAGCCAGAGCGATTAATCTATGCGAATCGGAAAACGCACCTGAGCCACTTGCACAATTTTCCGATCCTTCACACGAACTCGAACTTCGTTATCATCTTCCACCAGTTGCAATGGGTTCCGCAATGGCAATTTGTCCGGCGGCGGCTGTCCCAGGCACAAACACAACGCAGCTTCAACAACCAGCACAATCCACGGTCTCAGGGTCTCCATGCTGGAGTTCTCGAGGGGTGGAGGGTCATAATCCCCAACGCCTGCCCCTTCATAGCTTGCAAAAGGGGTTAAAAACACTCAAATTGGCCAAATGAGAGTTCAACATGCGCACTTCATAGAATGTGCATTCACTCTTTGTGTTTGCGGCCGTTTCAATCGCTTTTTGAGTCGTTTGCGTTTGATATTCCCAATCGGGCTAGATCGTATTTCCCCGGAGATCCAGTCACGCGTTCTCACCGCCTTGGCAGAATTATCCTAGTCAGCAAGTGTTCCATGACTCAGCAACAATTAGCCACGCTCATTGGCCACAATCGTCAACGTGAGCTTGGATTGTGACGTCCATCGATGATCGCCCGCCCTAATTAACGGGCTGTTGACTATGATAGAATCCCCACCTCGAGTTTAGCACTTCACATTTGCAGCCCCTCTGTGTCATTCATATCGTTGCGACCCATTCGTTCTCCTAGGGTCAGCGCCTTTTTCTCACTGTGGAAATCCAGCAGGATGAAATAACCCACTTACCGTATTTTGGGGCAAACACTAGGAGCCATGTCTGGCGATACGATACGTGCCTAACCAGGCTGAAACGTCTTTATGATTGTTCATCCAGTAGAACTCAGATACTTGAAACAGACGTGTTAAGTATGGATATGGCTTCTCAGAAATCACAGGGAAACTCAAGCCCCTCCGCGTCCTCGATATTCCTACCTCTTGGTCGACGATCAAGACGGGGTTCCCTTGCTTCTATTAGTTCACAGGCAGAAAGAGAACATAGAAATGAAGCCTTGGACCAGATACACAATGCTGCCTGTCAGTCAGATGAACTCACTGTGTTCTATGAACTTACCAGTCCGCCTACTACTTCATCAGCAACGGACAACAAGAGCATAGTGGGAGAATTGCAAGGCAGCCTGAGCGGGCTTTACAGTCGCTTTCGAGCCTCAGTGGGCGGCGTTAAAGATATGGTTGGAGTTTCATCAAAATCATCAGAAACAACACCAGCAGAAACACCAGCGGTTAAAAGCCCTAACATCTCCTCGTTTCCCTCAAATGTACCGGGACATACCAGCGCCGCAGGCTCCAGCGATGTGCATCCCTCGCTTACCAGCTCGGCTCATGCATCTAAATGTCAGTCTCCGGCTCTAGGGACCTTCCCTCCAATACAAGAAAGGACAGCCAATCCCTCTATGGGGAGGTCGTCAAGGATTTCCTCCAAGGCTGGGAGTGTATCTTCCAAAGCATCTGGGCACCCTGGTGGTCCGTTGAAGTCAGCGATTGCCCCTTTAACAAAAGCCACTTCAGGGATGGCAAGTCCCACAGTTACTGAAATCAACGTAAACGCCATGAAGGATGTTCCATACCATAATAGGACCGGTTCAGGAAGTATCTCATCAAGTATGCTACAGAATACCGATTCCTCCAGCTCGGAAAGACGGGACAGCTCCCAACCGACGTCGATGAGCCAGTCGCAGCAGGAGCTAGGACCTAGTCACCAGTCATATTCACCTGTTTTGATGACATGGCATGCCCACAATGAATCTTTTCGGGAAACTCGTTTGCCGGAGAACCCAGCCATGGAGCGTGCAGCGTCCCCGAAACTTCATTCTACCACTGCCGATCGAAATGGTCTTGCTGAACTCGACACATCATTCTCGAAATCTTCTTGGAGAGCCTCGATTGACGGAGCGCACGAGATACTGCCATCCCGTAGAGAAAGCCAACCGGGAAATTCCACCAAGTCCATCCCGAACGATCATTCCCCAACTCCAACCTCTGTTACCACAAGCCTTTCCAAATTCTCAACAGCAGATAGTTTGGCGAACGAAAGCAGAACACCAACGACTCTAGCGACTTCGTTAACCATGACGGACAAGGAACCGCCATCCGCGCACTCGTCGAAGACTTCCTTCAAGGATCGCCAGGCGAAAGCACCTCCTAAAGTTAATCAATCACGCTTACCTGGATTTGGGCATTCACGGATGTCTTCCTCAGAGTCAGACAATCACCAACGATCTGCAGCTATTCCTTCACATATTTCGTTCAGCACTGGCTATGCCGGTTCTGCTGCCCAGGCAAGAAGACGACCTCCCATCCAGTCACGACAAGAGGTGCCTCCTTTCCGAAGCAAGCTTCTTGGCAAGGAATTTTGGATGCGTGATGAGAATGCTAAGGACTGCTTCCATTGCGGAGAGCCGTTTTCTACTTTTCGAAGGAAACACCACTGTCGCACTTGCGGTCAGATTTTTGACGCAAAATGTACATCTCTAATACCAGGGACAGATTTTGGGCACTCTGGTTCGATACGAGTATGTAGGCCTTGTGAAAGCAAGATTTTGGCCTACCAGGACGATTCTTCGGACCTATCTGGAGATGACCTGAGTCCTATTGTGATTAATACTCGGAGCCCTGATGCCATCTCCAATGGGAATTTGTCTCGTTTAAGTGTAGATGACGATGCTTCTTCCGTCATGTCTCAATCGGTTGACCATGTGTTAAAAACCCCCACCATGGCAATTCCTGCCACCAGACGTACTGGCGATGGAAACAATCGTCGTTCTGCCATCCTGGAGTTCGATTCCGATCGGCAGCTTACGAGGCCTTCTTCCTCGAGATCACTGAAATCGTCAATCAATGGCAGACCACATTCTATTGGCCATAAGCGGCATCACTCGCGCCACCAATTCATTCGCAGCCTCAAGTCCTACCACGAAGACAGAGCCCCATTCCAGCGTCGCGCTGCAGAGGAGATGGGCAGGGAGTCTAGGCTTCCAGCCTTTCACCGGGATAACATTATTGATCCGGATTTGGCCCAGTATTTGTCAGATGATGCTTCGAGTGGTGACGAACAATCAAATTTATTTGCTGTAGTTTCGGATGGAGGTCTCTGCAAGAGCGTTGGTGAGAGTGAGAAAGCATCTTTCAGCGGTCTTCTTGCAGCCGTAAGAAAGGGTCGTTCTCGTTTCGGTGACAAATCAGGAGTTCCAGGGTTGTATTCCACTCGTGATGGCGATGATACGAGCGTCAGCAGTTCCAGAGCACTTAATATATCTCGTTCTACGCGGCGACGTAATTTGAGTGTTGCAAGTAGCATTCACCAACGCGTATCTCCGCGCACGTCAAAAGACAGCCAGGCCATCCACTACTACCATGACCACACCTTACCATCGCTGTCAATGCAAGGCCTACCAGCATCTGCAGGTTTCAAGATGACTAGAAGTTCATCAATGAGAGGCGCTGGTGCACCAGCTATTGAACTCAACCGAGCCAGTTTAGACCATGTCCGCAAACTCCTCCGGCAGCTATTGAGAGATGCAAGTATCCCTCATTCTAACTCTTGGGAAACTGCTTTGTTGCCAATCCTTCTTAAAGCTACTGATGATGTAGAGCCAGACGTCCAGCAGGGCGACGCCATGGACATACGTCACTATGTGAAACTAAAAAAAATACCAGGTGGGCGCCCAGGTGATACAGCATATGTTTCCGGCTTGGTTTTCACGAAGAATTTGGCGTTAAAGAGCATGCCTCGAAGCATTTCTCAGCCTAATATTCTTATTATCACCTTCCCTCTTGAATATGCACGCCAACAGCAGCATTTCATGAGTTTGGAACCTGTCATTCGTCAAGAGCGCGAATTTCTAGAAAATCTAGTCAATAGGATATCCTCCTTGAAACCTAACCTTCTTCTTGTGGAAAAGAATGTTTCTGGGCTCGCTCTTCAGTTACTAGAGAAGGCAAATATTGCTACTGCGTACAATGTTAAACCATCGGTAATTGAAGCTGTCTCGAGATGCACACGGACCAGAATTATCACCTCTATGGACAGACTAGCCACCAGCCCATCATATCCCGGCCAATGTGGCAGTTTCGACCTCAGAACATACGTTCATAAAAATCGCAAAAAGACATACATGTATATATCTGGGTGTCCGAAAGAGTTAGGATGCACAATCGCCCTTCGCGGTGCAGAAAATGATCTTCTCATAAAGATCAAACGGATTACGGAATTCATGGTCTATGTTGTGTACAATTTGAAGCTAGAAACCTGCCTCATGAGGGACGAATTCGTGAAAATACCCTCTTTGTCATCCGAAACACCATCCACGAAGACCAGTGCGCCCTTTAACATCACTGAGAGTACCGGACAGCCTAGAGATGCGAGCACCACTGTGCATGACCAAAATTCCCAACACAGCTCCCAGTCGGTTATTACTGACGGCGCAAAATCCTTCGATGGTTCTCCCACCTCTCATAGTCCTGTTTCTGTTATTGACACCGCTACGAATGCATCTAGTCGGGAATTTGAGCAGACCAGCAGTGCCACCACCGTGCCTGCCTTTTATGAGGATATGGTTGAGAAGCACCAAACAAAAATTCTCTCTGCATCTCCTTTCGTGAAGTTTATGCCACCTTACCTTCTCATGCGCGCTAGAGAACTGGAGCGGCAGCTTGCATATCTCAAACGGCTTCGCGATCAAGATTTTTCAACAGAGCAGTTGAGTGATGACAAAGCGAGATCCCAAAAATTTGTCCTCATTACTCCTGAAATGATTCACGAGTCTCTCTCTGGCGCTTCAGCCAAGGTTAAGGAAGTGCTCCATGCGGTTCACGATGCAGAATATGACAGAGCACTGCATAACTACCAAACGCAGAAGAGACAATGGGAAACATACATTTCTGGAAACGGCAACTTGTTCGATCCTTACTGCCATCAAAACATTGTCGTACTTTATAGCCTTGTTTGCACGACAACTTCCGTTCCCTGTTCTGGTCCAGATATATTTGCTCTTGGATTTTACAATGAGCAAGAATCAGATAGATTATTCGAAGCTGATTTTACCCTTGGTCAATATGTTGAGGAACTTTGCCTCAGCGCTAATGATGTATGTGAGGTGAATGGTTGTGAAGAAAGGATGTTTAGCCATCATCGACAGTACGTACATGGCGAAGCTCAAGTCACTGTTATTGTTCAGCCGTACCCATCCAAGCTTCGTGGGTTGCAGGATGTGATTTTAATGTGGAGCTGCTGCAAAATCTGTGGCAATGAGACACCAGCTATCCCTATGTCAGAGAGCACTTGGAGATATTCATTTGGAAAATACCTTGAATTGTCATTTTGGTGTGGTAACCTGCATGCGCGTGCTGGTCTCTGTCCTCACGACTTGCATCGCGATCACCTTCGTTATTTTGGCTTCAAAGATGTGGCTATTCGCATCCATTATGATCCCATCACGTTACTGGAAATCATTGTACCACGACCTCGCGTTACTTGGAAAGTCGATAAAGATCTCAGGCTTCGAAACGAAATATACAGCCAGGCGGAAAAGCGCTTAAATCGGTTCATGTTATCCGTAAAATCCAGGTTGAAAAGTATTAATGTTGATAGTGTCATCCCGGAAATGGCAGAAGATTGCCGGTATGAAATCGAGGCGCTCATGAAGCGAGCGAATGATGAGCACCTCTCCCTCATTAAGCTGCATCAAGAACTCTACATGAACTCTCGATACTGGGAAATAATTCCTCTGAATAGAGTTATTCACGCTATGCAAGAAAAGGTCGTGGAATGGGATGCGACGTTTGCAGAGTTTGAACGGAATTTCTTCCCTTCAGAAAAGGATATCCGGCGACTAGCAACGTTACAACTTAAGCGAATATTTCTTGATAAGGATGTTTCCGTCACCTCCTTTACAACGACTGACGAAACCGCTGCAACAACCCCTGTTGAGGCAGTGGAAGCAGATGCGGCAACAGTTCCTTCGACGGCGGAAAACCACAAGTTGGCGAGAAGGATGACACTGTCTCCCCAAGAGGCTAAGAGTGTCCTAGTTTCAGTGGTGGAAGAGCATTCGGGTAAAATCAACAGATGTAGGGAAAGTCCTGAGCAGTTACCTTCCCCGGCACAGCTCAATGTCAACGAAAACGAACCCGTCACGTTCCCTGAGAAAGCAATGGCTTCTGGACAGGACGTTCAGCATTTAGACTTGGCTATGCCGCCCAGCGTTGATGATCCAAACCATTCTACCCCCATACCCGAACCCGCCTCTCAACTTCTACCTAGTAACAAATCCGAGGGTCCAACCGCCTGTGGCACGGCACCATCAGACAATCACGATGGCGATAAGAACACGGCTCCGGATCTGCAGTCACCAGATGCTTCAAATGAAGTCCAGGCTATCATTGAAGACCAAGGACGTGGTGGTGATAGCCCCGACCATACCATTCTGCACCCCCCCCAAAACCCCCGACCTTCTGGTATCCCAAGGCCGTCGGAGAAATCGTCTCGAAAGCCTCCAACTGGAAAATCTCCCCCCTTACTAAGAGCAGATTCACACCCAGTCCACATGCCAGACAACAGTGCGAATGGGGAGGCAATGCAACTCGTGCAGAGAGCGGCAACTGGCGGTTTCAACCTTAGGAGGACTGATAGGCAAGCTGACTCAACTAGTGTCTCAAAGGCCAAAGTTGGTGAAAAGAAGTTTTCGGAACGCCTTGGCTTGTCATCCTTGAAGCCGAGTAAATTGGCTTCGGATCATCAATCTCTAATACCGCGTTCTGTACAAGGAAAAAGCTCACGGGTTTCGAATTTAGCAAAGCACTTTGAACAATTGAGCCGTGAATTTGAAAAGGAGCGTATGAGAGAGCGTCAGCAACGCGCATCTCAAAGAAAGCAGTCTCGTGCGTATCCCATGGCTTCTTCAAATCCAATTGTAGAAGTTTACAGGAACGTGAGAGATGCGGTTGAGGAACGGGACCCATCGGACGAGGACTTTCTTTCAAATCTGCCCTCTTCTGCTACTTCAAAGGAATCAACCACATTGGTGTCTGAAATTAAAAAGCTTGCTAAGCCTGAAGATACCGAAGAAGAAGATCACAAAGAACAACCCCAAGATACGTCCATAAAACCAGACGAAACTGTGGTACAAGCCAGCCAAGTCCAATCAGAGGCTGAGGGTGAGGGCGAAGGCAAATGCGAGGATGAACACAGTGACGCAGAAAGAAGTCTTCTGGACGAGCTTCAGATTGTTGACTCAGCCAAAGAAGCAAACAAGATGCTGCCTGAGGATCTTGATTTAAAAGAGCTACCAAAGTACGAACGGACATCCCTTCTCAAAGTGTTAACGAACTTCTGGGCCGAACGCTCTGCCAGTGGATGGGCTCCTCTCGAATACCCCTTGAGCGATTCCGACCATCTTTTCGCAGATTGTAACATAATTGTTCGAGAGGACGAACCCAGCTCCCTAATTGCATTTGCTCTGGACTCCGAGGACTATAAGGCTAAACTCTGGAGCATCCAAGAACATGACCTGGTGGAAGATAACCGCTCTGATGAACGTCATCCTCCCGAAGTCGAGCAATCACTTCTCAGGGAAACGGGAACTCATCTCAAATACCAGTTCCAAGAAGGCCAGGCTAAGATGCTTTGCAAAGTCTTCTATGCTGAGCAATTTGATGCACTCCGACGAAAGTGCGGTGTTTCAGAACGGATAGTCGAGTCGCTGTCGCGTTGTATGAAATGGGATTCTCGTGGCGGAAAAACCAAGTCGCTTTTTCTGAAAACTCTAGACGACCGCTTCATCCTCAAGTCACTCTCAACCATTGAGACCCAGGCTTTTTTGAAATTTGCGCCAGCATACTTCCAAATCATGTCCGAAGCCCTGTTTCACGAACTCCCTTCCGCCATCGCAAAGATGTTTGGCTTTTACCAAGTAATTATCAAAAACCCTGTCACCGGGGTGGAATTCAACTGGTTCCTTCTTCTCATGGAGAACCTCTTCTACGACCGGAACCCAACACGTATATTCGACCTGAAGGGATCAATGCGCAATCGTAAAGTCCAAAGTACGGGCGAGCGCAATGAAGTACTCCTCGACGAGAACATGGTGGAGTTCATATACGAGAGTCCCCTGTTTACTCGAGAACATTCTAAGAAACTTCTAAGCCAGAGCGTATGGAATGATACTTTATTCCTCGCTCGCCAGAACGTCATGGACTACTCCCTTATGATTGCAATTGATGACGCCCGCCAGGAACTTGTTGTTGGCATCATTGACTGCATCCGTACGTATACTTGGGACAAGAAGCTGGAGTCATGGATAAAGGATCGCGGATTTGCCGGGGGCGGCAAAAATAGACCGACCGTCACCAGTCCGAAGGAGTATAAGAGTCGTTTCCGGGAGGCTATGGCCAGATATGTGCTACATGCTCCAAAGTGAGTATTCACTATCCAATACAACTAATTACATGGGACTAGGAGGTGTTGTCATTGAAGATAACTAACGAGGACAAAAAATAGTTCATGGCACCAATGCCAAGTGATGAAATTGGATCGACGGAGTCTCAGACTCAAGAGCCGTGAGCGAGATAACTTCAAAGCTAACAAGGAGGAAAATGTCGGCCCGGGAGGAGTCGTTTCTTAATCAAATTTAAACTATGGGGTACTTCATTTTTTCGCTCGCATTGCAAAATTTTTTCGATACTTTTGTGAACTACATATGTTACATGCTGCAGTTCTTTATGTACCCCGCTCCTATATCATGAAGGATTACCCGTGGTGCTTACGACTATTAACGAACCATGCGATGAGCTAGATAGGTCGAAAGCATACCCCCCAAAAAACTAGCTATCGTGTATTATAAAAACAAAGCCTTCGGTTGATCCCAAATAACTGCACAAAAATCGGATAAAGGAAAAAGAAACAAGATTAGATCGATCCGCTATGGCCCAGACACATTGCACCACAGTATCTCTACCCCACCTGACTATGACCATGTTTTTCATGATTATTTTGTGCTTTATTGGTGGCGTTAAATACGGAAGACTGAATTGAGCTTAATGACATTATTTAAATTGTGCCTGTAATCATCTAACTGTCACTGATTTTTAAAGTATGTTAAATATAATTTAGTGCATAAGTGAAAAACACACGGTAAAACAGTTTACATCATATTGAATTTTGAGAATTTGCTCATTTAAAGTGTCAATCTCATAAAACATCTGAGACTCTTTTTAACTCTTCAACTAAAGTCAGAATTCAATATGAAACTTTGTGAACAGTCACAAAAAAAACTAAAATTCAAGTTCTTATAAAACGTACAATTCTCAGCAGACACTATGCGAGATTATTTATGAATGATTGAAGCTTGTATAAAATACTACTCAAATGTATTATCTACAACTTTGAACCGAGGGAATTGAAATTCGAGGATAGACAGAAAAAAGAGTATCACCCAAGCACGAAATCGTTTATTTTTTACTTAATTTTTAAAACAGTAGAGATTTTTTTTTTTTCCTTTTTGGAAGCACATACTTACATCCGCTATTATCCTCATTACAAAACCAGCTCCTCGAGAAGCAACAAGCACCCTTTATAAAATGCGGGGAAAGTAAAACAGATTAGGCTTCTTTTCACAGAAGCCTAGTGGAAGCCCAATTGTACTTTTCGACAAATCCTTTTCCTGCTAGGAGAATTAACGTCAAAAAGCAGCAATTCCTTTGGCCCTTTGTACTTCACATCCCTACCCCAACACAACTTATAAACAAGAAGCCTACATCTAAACCTAAACCTAACATTCTTCCAATCCACCTTCGCTTACCCCTCCGCAAGCCCCAAATTCTCCGGATCCGCAGGAACCACACGGATGGTATTTGTATGACCCATCCCGCCCCTCCAGCCCTGGACACAGACGACAGAGTCACCGCGGGAAAGAACATGGTGTTCAATGGCCTTGGCGATACCGAACTTGAGACGGTTGTCGACGTCCTCTTGCCAGTTCTCGCGGGTGAAGTCGGGCTTCTTTGCGGGGAAGATGAAGGGGTAGACGCCGCGGTAGAGGTGGGAGTACTGATTTGGTGGGAATTAGTTGATTGGATTGGTTGGATTGAGTTGGGTTGGGGTGAGCAAGAGTGGGGAGGGAAAGGAGGATATAAACTTACACGGGCAGCAATGTCGTTGCGGGTGATCATTATGATGGGGCAGACGGGACGGTATTTGGAGAGGAGGCGGGCGGAGTGGCCGCTATATAATGAATTGGATGTATGCGTGAGTTAAACTTGATCATTTCTTCCCCCACCCCCTAATCGCAGTGAAAATTGAAATGGAACTACTTACCTCGTCGTCAATACCAAAATAGCTCCGGCATTCAGCTCCAGACTTGCAGAGACAGCAGCCATGGCAATGGACTCGACGGTATCCAGGGGTCGAGTCGCGAGATTCCGCAACTCATCAAAGACATTGACATATGGAATAGCGACTTCGGCAATCAGACATGTCTCATGCATCATCATTACAGCTTCCTTGGGATAATCGCCCTTGGCAGTTTCGCCAGACAGCATAACACAGTCCGCCCCGTCCAGAACCGCGTTGGCGACATCTGACACCTCCGCACGCGTGGGACGCGGGTTATATGTCATCGACTCAAGCATCTGTGTCGCGCAGATGACAGGCTTGCCCTTGATGTTGCACTTGGCAATCATCATCTTCTGGGCGATGAAGACCTTTGCCGCAGGGATTTCGATACCTAGGTCTCCACGTGCGACCATGACGCCGTCAGTTTCTTCAAGGATCTCATCAAAGTTGTTGACGCCTTGCTGGTTCTCGATCTTGGCGATGATTTGAATTTCCTTGCCTTCTTCGCCAAGGACAGCGCGGATGTCCTTGATGTCTGAGGCGCGGCGGATGAAGGAGGCAAAGACCATGTCGACTTTATTCTTTACGCCGAAGCGGAGGTCGGCTTTGTCCTTCTCGGAGAGGGCGGGGAGATCGATGTCGGTTCCGGGGAGGTTGACGCCCTTTTTGGAGGAGATGAAGCCATTGTTGAGACACTTGGCGCGGAGAGAATGATTGTCTATGATCTCGAGGACTTGGAATGAGAGAATGCCGTCGTCCACGTATATTAGTTTACCCTTCTGAATCACCTTCGTGATGTTCTTGTAGTCGACGTAGCTAATTGGTGGATTAGTTTTTTCTTTTTTCTAAATGCTGTAGGGATACCAGAAATTTAACCGGGGTACTCAACAGATATTTATTATCACACTTCTCCGCATAGTCATCGTGAGTCGTAATAATCAACTCCGCTCCTTCAAGTATTTTAATATCCTCACCACCTACTGTTTTGCCGGTTCGAATTTCTGGTCCTTTCTGCAACAGTCGAGGGGCCAAAGGTCAGTTCTTGCACATCTCTCATAGAGGTGGATAATATTGTTTATATGAGTGGCTTGGCTTACGGTATCCAAAGCAATAGCGAGCGGGCGCCCTGCTTCAATTTGCTCAGCCTTTCTGGCATTATCAATGACAGATTGATGATACTAGACGCAAAGCAACACCACCAGTTAGCTTTCTGAACCTGTTTGAAATGTTTCACGGGCAGGGGGGGCGGGGTTAATTACCTCGTAATCGCCATGGGAAAAGTTCATGCGAACAACATTGACACCAGCTAGAAGGATGTGAACATATCAAGGTTAGCCCCACACCCAAACACCCCTGTTCACAGTTTGGAAACTGGGAGCAGCGGTAGCAATCAGACCTTTGCGCAGGATATTGATCTTCTTAACGGAATTAGTTTTCGGACCTAATGAGCAGGAAGAAACACAATTCCAATCGTTAGCTTCATCGTCTTCTTAAGATCTCCGTGCCACAATGGAGAGATTGAGGAAGGTGCCAAAAACATAAAAATGCGAGAGGAAACGGTGCATCTTCAGGTTGCAGCCACGAAGTGCAGGTGAAGGTTGGGTGAAGGTTGGGGGGGGGAAAAAAAGGCTCCTTCAAACGCACCAATGGTCCCGATGATTGCGGTACGGCGGTAGTTGGCATAGTTGGCGATATTCTCCCCTCTGAGGGGCTTATAGTCGCATTGGAGTTTGGACATCCACTCCAGCTTACTCCCGCTGGTGAGGTGATCGAGAGAGTTCGCCATGTCGGTGGCGGGCTGTTGCTGTTGACGTTGTAGGGAGGCCACGGTTGCGGGAGGAAGAAGAGAAGAGGGGTTCCTTTTCCGGTCGTCGATTGATGCTCAGCAGGCAAAAAATAGGGCAGAGAGAGGATGGGGTCTCTCGCTGCAGCTATTTTTGGGTTACTTTTGCCAATGCCCTTTTGGAGCCTTGCCAGTTGCAATAGGATGAAGGGTTGAAGCTGTATGCGGCCCAGTGGGTTCTCAACAGGGGTCAGCAAACGGCAGTAATCCAACCAGACGGAACCAAGAAGGCAGACGGTCGCGCTAGGAGAAGGCAGGGAAAAGATTACTGGATGGTCCTTTGTCTTCCCTGTCTTTCTTTGATAAATGTTGTTCCTTTATCTTTCTCTGGTTGGCTGGTGGGATAAAAGTGTTGCTTGTTGGGGGGTGGCAATTTGTTATTCAGGCTGTTGATCTCACATGAGAGGGCAAGCAGTTAATAATAATTGCTTTGTTCATGTGCAAGGAACTAGAAGAAAGAAGAACTTCTCCGCAGAAGATCTAGTTATAGATGAATAATACTAGAACAACCCGCATAAGAGGTTGGGTGGATATAAGAATAATAAAAAGAACAAGTTAAGCTTAGCATCCAGGACGCGACCCAGAAATAAGTGTTGCTAGTAACTAAACTCTCATCAAAGCCCCCCATAAGTTGTTAAGTTAGTGGTTGGAGTTAAGCCAAAGGCTCTTCTGTTGCATTCTTCCTCTGCAGTTCTGCTGTGACATGGCTACACTTCTCTAGTTCCTAACTAACTACACAATTTGGAGGACGGAGTAGACTTTTCCTCTTGGATCCTCCAAAATATCAGAATATTTGTTAATTTCCTCACTGCAAATAACATTAAGACACAGATTGTGTGATTATGTAACTGGATGTTCACGTGTCTCCACATAAATAAATATAAGTTACATGGTTTATAGCTTTCGGCTAGACTAGTTCATATACACACAACAACGGCGCCCTCATCGAGTTATGACGCCCTTTGATTGGAAGAAGCTGGGGATGACGTGCTAACAACGTCTCCACTTGATCGTTTAAACGTGCCTAAACGCTCTTGTGGATACTTTGAATCCAGGCAGAATACCTGATTTATCGAGGAATACATGCCGCCTGGCTCTGGCCATGATGGCTCAGTGATTGAAGCTGGAGATCGCGACCCTTCAGCACGAAGTCGAGCGAAAATGAGCTACTGAAGAAGTCAGTGCGGATCTGGCAGAATCCCTTCTTCAAGAAAGAAGGATGCCTGCGATAGTCACGGAACGCCAGTATGGATATGCGACGGTTTTGGACAGAAAGAAATATCTGGCTTTACCAGCTATATGTCGTTTGCAAATCACCCCACAGGCTAAATCTTGTTTCACAATGCCTCAAGATTCTCTATTTTCTGCTTATGCTTTATGGTTTGTCATCAAGGATGACTTCGCAGAGAGGCCTGCAGTCCGGAGAACTCAACTATTTGAGGATTTTTGAATGGAATGACAGCAAAGTCAAAGGGATCTAGATGATCGGGCACTTATTGAACGTTTTAATTGCCATCAGAACTGAGTAGTATCCGTAGAGGATATCAAGTGCAGGATTTCATGCTCTTTGACCGACTTCTTACAGGAGTTAGCAAGGAATGGGCTTCTTTTATAAGGAACCGTATGTATCAAATTGAGGAGGGTGGGGGGACTCAGGGTCTCGGGTCCGATTTCGTGGGCCCATGGTGTGGCGTCCTTTGTACGGCTGCCGATGGGCCTCCCTCCGGCGGGTATGGGGATCCCCCCCCCCCCCTCCAGTATATAATACCCGAGACTCTGTGAGAAAGGATAAACATTCCAAGCCTGAAAGGACCAGAACGAGCTACTACTGCCAGAAGGCTGGCCACATACAGTCTGAATGTTGCTTGAAATTTCCGGATAAACGTCCTGCCTCAATGGGTAAGAATGAAGACAAGGATAAGGGTGGGACTGGTTCACCCCCAGTTCATAACATCATCAAGCAGATATTCTGCACGGCGGAGAAGGCTTATTCTAGTGGCCAAACCGGCGAAGATACCAGGGTCCTAGACTCCGATTCGGGAGCTCACGCCACACCTCGCAGAGAGATCATCGAGATCAAGTCTCAAAAGGTCACTGTCACTCTAGAAATGGCAGACGGAGTTACGGTCCCCCTCTACGGCCGTAGCTGCGACTGTAGGGAAGGTTGATATACCTTCTGAGGGGGCCATAATCTCGTTGAATGACGTTCGAATGGACACATCCACCATCTGCACCGATGAGCCAGAACAGTGACGCCAACGACGAGATTCTTCATCGATGTTGCGGGTGATAGCCGTACGCTATATAATAAGAAAGGACCTCCCTACTTGGGGGTTGCCGATCAATGGGATGGCTGAGGCGGGATCTCTCATGAGATCATTACACCCGACACACCACAATCGAAACGGATTCACGAAGGGAAGCCTGCGTTCCGTTGATTTCGTTGAGAAAGATTGGATTAGTGGAGGTCGTCTGATTTTGCGGCCCAGTGTGGGTGCACAGGAACATACCAGAATAACCAGATATACTTGTGGTGTTCTGCTTTGAATTTTTCAGTTTATGCTTTGTACGGACGCCTTTTTCTATTCAGGAATTGAGTGTCTGGTTGTTGTAATTATGTTTTATTATTGCGGATTTGAAGGATTTGAGCTGAGTTAGCAAGGCGTCGTTGGCAGAGCTTAGGGAGCGCGCCGCATGGGTGTTAGTGGAAAAAATTAACTGCGGCCCGCTTAATCACGTTCCCCTTCATAAATGTAGATTTCAGCCAAACCAGCGCTTAGTTCTGTTCGGGATCAGGTGATCCCTATGGTATCGTACTCGTCCGTCCTTTGTCCAGTATAGACGAATAATTACTTGGCAATTGGGGGGGCATTTTGCCAGGTTAGTTCACCTAGTAGTTCCACAGCAACTTCCAGTGATATTGAACGGATCAATATCCGGATCTACATTTACCCACATCCGAAGCCCCAGCTTCTTAGTATGTATGTTTTGGGACTAGCGTATTCTTGGCACGAACATGACAGTGGCTGAACTAAAAGTAAACTAAAACTAACTAAAACTAACTAGAGTTGAAGCTAATACCTTACCTAATACGCCTTGAGTGCCAATCACATGGTCCAGGCAACCGAGATCGCTGACCAACTTGACCACCAAGCGGCGGCGGCAAACAACAACAACTACTGCTACTACTACTGCTACTGCTACTATTCCGAACAGCTACGTATCTTGTATATCTTGCATATCTGTTTCATTCCTCCGTATATCCAAATAAATACGATATACCTACTCCACTTTCCTCTCTCTCTGCAGCTCTTCCCCCCAGCTGTTCCGATACGTTACCCTCTTCCCATCGCTCTTCATCTCCTTTGGCTCCCCGGGCTATCCCCATCCGATCCGCCGCACCAAACAAATAACAAGCCCCTTCTCCTCCCCGTCCATTGTTATCCCGTACCAGTTCACCACGCATCTTCAGCCATGGTGGTATGTCTCGCTTCTCCCTTTCCTTTCCTTCCCCATCCCATCTCAGTCGCACTCTTATTAACAAAACCCCTTTTCTTATAGCTCGGACGCATAACCCACTACGCCTTCGATGCAGTTCTACGTTCGTTCACCCCATCCCTCTTCACTAATTACTATCTTCCAGCAAAACTAACCTAGTTACAACCCCAAACAGTCTCCGCGTTTCTAGCTGGCATTAAGCGGTCAACAGGATTAACGTAAATATTTCAATATCCCCCTCCGTCATACCACAGTATTATATATATGCACAGAGACATGTCCATGCAAGAAGGAACACCAGGCTAACAGCTGCTCACCTCTCCCCCCCCAACCCACTCCCACACACGACGGCCCGGAATTTGTTGCGGTACACAGCGACGGAACTGCCCCTGCTCGAGCTTCTCATCCCGCGAAACCACCATGAACCTACCTGACGACCATCCCTCCATTTCCTACACCCAACAAATTTCCAACCGCAATGCGCACCCCTCC